TGATCAGGGACCAAAGAGAACGCCTTTCTCACATAGCTGCAGCCGTAGCTGAGCGCGTCGCAACGCAGAAGCCGGTAGCACGCCTGCTACAAGGCCCGCTGGCCTGCATAAGCCCTCGCCAGGTCAGCGCACTCAGGACAGAGTCCTAAGAGAGCCCCAAGCCTAGCCTACTTAGATATTAGCCCCCACACGCTGAGTGTGGTTCTTCAACTGACTTTCACATGGCCTGGACACTCCGTTCAGCCCAGAGTTTTCTGGTCGTTTGTTTTTCACACGGGGGGTAGAACGAAGGAGACCCGGGCTTGAAGTCCCGGTCCTTTCAAGCCCTCCTTTGCACAACACTCAGAGCAACCTCGAGAAGTGGTAAGTGTTGAGGCTAGGAGCAGTGCAAGCCCACAGAACCAATAAACTCCTCCAAGGAATCATGCTCATGCAACGTATGATGGCATCGACCTTAAACTCCACAGTTCCAAAATCCCGCGTATGTAGAAGACCATGTGCGTGATGGAAGGTCCTATCTGGGTGGCCAAAGAAGCTGCAAATGCTGCTTCCATGGGTTTAGAGGCTTAGGGTTTTGGGTCCCCATACCCTGGTTTCCCGTGTCATGTGTTTTTACTCGTGCAAAATCTAAGCCCTGCCTGTGACGAAATAAATCTGCTTCATGCAAAAAAAATGAACCTGAATTCCAAGCCCTTGACTCTTCTCTCCCACCCCAAAGTTCAAACCTGTAAACCCTAGGCCCTAAACCCTCAACAAGGATACGCGCTGGACGGGGAATTCAAAAACGATGCGCATTGGACAGGCAAGTGGATGTGCTCTGCACCCTCCGACCTGTTAATGTGTAGGAGGGACCCTCACCTCTCCCAACTCCCAACAGTCTTGGAATCAGCTTTCGCGTTTTAAATTGGCAGTGGCTTGTTGGTGGCGGTCTTCAGATTTTGAAGCAGATTCGCCTGCGGGGTATAGGGCTCAGGAGATGGGGTTCAGGCTGAAAGGCTTTAGAAACGGCGGAAGCTTTAACGATGCCCAATGGTAATAGTCCGTTTTTGTTGGTGCACGCGTTTGTTTCTAAGTTTCGTTGCGTGGGAATCATTAATGCTTGTTTCAAAACATAGGGGGAAGGCAGGGGACTGCAGGGGCGCATGGGGTGTATGTCCATATGTGGTAGCCCTTTAAGCTACCTAGCCCGGGCGAGGTCATCATTGTGTGTTGGCTTCAACGGGAATTGGGTCGTACACCTCATCGACAAAATGCGCACATTGGCTTTGTTGCTTGTTGTTTTGCCCAAGTTCCATGATGCTTCATGTTGTCACAAAGCATCAGTGCTACCTATCCTGGCAAGCGCTCCTTTTCCGCAAGCAACAACATTGGTTGGAATGTTTTCAACTCAAATGCACTTGGCCTGGCAATTCTGTTCGTAATTCTTTGACGTTCTCATGGCCACATTGTCATCTGCATGGCCGCATTTTGTGCAAGGAGCTCAGAAGATCCTTCCTGTTGCATTTTGTGAGTTGTCGGCGCAAGCAACACGTGGGCAATCGGCAAGGCCACGTGTTGAGCTGGATGTGGAGTTGAGAACGCTTGCAGATCAGTTACAGCAGGCTTGCATCTGCTGTTCTACTTTTTGGATGTGTTGTGCCATGTGTGCTTGTGAAGCAACATTGGGAACATGCCAGCCCCCAAAACAAAAACAAACACTTGTTTGGCTCGACATGCAGTATGTTCATTTGTACAGCAGAAGGGTTGCAAATAGAACATTATCAGCTGAACATATCATTCTTGCTCATTTTATCACGCGACCTTGGCAGGTGTCCAGACGGATTGGGCGGATCGAGCCGTGTGTGACCGCCATCGAACTGAAATTAGAGGAGCAAAAGTCTTCCTCTCCACGTGTCCCCTTCATACTTAGACGAAGCCATTATCTATGCTCCATTGTTATGGTTCGCAAGCTTCCCCTCTGTATCCATGTGGGTTTCTTCCGCCTGTTTCAAGCAAACTGCTTTGCACCCAAGAGCTCAAAAAGCAAAATCATGTGTCAGGTTCGGAGCTAACAGCTAGCCCGGAAAGTTCTAGCTTTGTGTCCGTAGCTCCTGTTACAGATTGATTTGCGAAGGAAGTGATCGACCGTTGTGGTCTTGCCCTCAGTTCACATGCTTTGTCTTGGTCAAGCACCTGAACTGGCTTTCCTGCGAGAGTTGATTTCTGACGTTAAAGCAATCACAGAACTCTGATGAAAGCATTGAGGACGGTAAGGGTAATGCAGGGTTGATTTGCAAACGTTGCTAGTAGTGGCTAGCTGTCAATGCGCTGAGGCGGCGACACGAAGGCAAGGTCCAGCATTTGGTTTCAACAGCCGGTCGGGCTGTGAAGTTTCCGGATGCGCTTACCAAATTTCGACGGAGCTGCCACAACAACGGGGGGATGTTGCACTGCCTAACTCCTTCCATATTCAATCACACAAAGCTTCATAGAGTCAACTTTGTTGTCGTTGGTTTTCAGGGTTTGAACAGCTTGCCGCATGGTCCTGGAGTCCTGTGGAGAGTATGACATGATTTGTGTCAGGTGGGTTCGCTGGCAACTCAGGCTCGATCGGGCTGACTGTCGGAAATTCCGTGACTTGTCGACTTCAAAAGGTGAATCTAGAGGGTTAGTGTACATGGATGTAGCAGCTATGGCGAAAATAACGTAATTATGATTGCGGACTCAGGGGCATTGCTCGCGAAAAAACAAAAGATTCAGCTTCTGTCATGGTGATCGTGCTTGCTGATGTGTAACATTCGCGCATTTGAAAACATTTTTGAGAAAGGTTAGGAAGCGAATGGGAAGGGGTAGGAGGATGAGCCGCTGGACTTTTTCAATTGTGCCGGTCCCTTGGCCCAGTCGAGCCGTTGAATGAACTTTCGCAATAAACGCGTTGGTTGTGCGCACGCACACCCTTTTGTGAATAGGTGACTGGCTGGGGGATGCTAGTCTTGAACAGGCGGAGGTGGCCTCTGTCGAAATGCGGGTGGGCCAGCAGTTAGCGAATGAAGTCATCGAAATCAACATGGAGCTGGAGGCACTGCGGGTTCTGCAGCTGGTTGATAGCTAACAGGTGACATGACTTTTTCTGTCATATATCGCAGTTTCTGGCTGCCAAACTGCAAACTAGCAGTCTGAATTTTTTCCCATAAGAGGAGCTGCGGCGGGTGGTGGCTGAGAAGACGGTGGTGGAAGGCTGAACGTGCATCGCAGATGGTTCGATTCAAACTCTTTGACGCAGTGAGGACTCTGAGCAGGGTCACGGCAGGATTGAGATTCAACTTGCCATTTGAGCTTGATTCACGGATAGTTTTTGGTGGTGTGTGATTGGTCAGTGCAGGCATGTTCTTGTCTGGAGTTGGTCAAAGCGTCGTTACGCAGTTCTGGTTTGCATGGAGTCAGAGCAGTCGTGTATGCTTCTGGGTGAGCTCTTTCTGTTTTGCATGGAGTCAGAGCAGGCGTGTATGCTTCTGGGTGAGCTCTTTTCCAGGCTTGCGGTCAGAGCACTCCAGTCACCTGAACATGCTTGACACCTCCGTGGCAGCTTTGCACCAAGGCTTTCCAGTTCCATGTTGTGAGCATAGATTCAGGCAGACAGGTCTGTGCAAGGGGTGTTGTTAGCGGCGGTTCTTTTGCAAGCTGATGGCGGCGCAACGAATGAGGTCTCTGTTGCCATGTGTCCTTTGTTGTTGACTTCGCTTTGGCTTGACAGGTTTCGAAGAACTGTCGGCGGAGTTCCAGGCTCTTGACTCGGCTATCTTTCAGATCTGAACAGAGCTATGATGCGTTGGGAGCAACTGTTTGAGGCTTCCGTTGAGCACTCTCGCCAGACCTTTGCCACGCAGCGGGACCATCAAGAATCGTGCCACCCGCCAGCATTGGCAGGTATCAGGCTGGGACTTGACTGGACTCAAGGAGTACTTGAGGTCTGTCTCAGTCACTCGTTGAAAAGCAAGTTTGAAGCCAGATCACAGCTCTGCTGTCCGCGTCTGAATACAGGGCCGCAGCACACCGCCGCAGAATTGCGGAGTGCTAGCTGCCAAAGCTGAGAGCGAAGCAAAGCCGAGACATCTTTGTTCAACAAGTTGTAACGAGTTGCAGTTGTAATCGCCTTTAGGGCAGAAGCTTTGGAGGAAATTTTCAAAACAGCAGGCCTTGGCCTCTTCGAGAGCAGTTAGCTTGCGTGGCAAGTCAAGGTTTTGAATGCTCAAAGGCCTGGGATTCCATGCGGTGCTGAGCCACGTGTGCTCTTTGAAAAAATTGAAAGCAGGCAAGCAATGCTCGGTTTGTGCCCTCGGAGAAGCTACAGTCTTGCCTCAATGCTCATGCTGCTGCCGACCTTCTCTGCGAGCTTGTGCTAGAGCACATGCAATGGCCAAGTGCAGCTACAGCAAAGAGAAGAAGCACTGCAGGAACAAGCAGCGAACGATTAGAACAGCAAGATAAGCAATGACCACCACATTACTCAGACAGGCATGGCTACAAAGACGACAATGATCACGATAATGACTGCGTTCACGGTTATAACGGCGCTGACGACAGCCACGACGACCTCAACGACACAATAACCGCAAGGACCATGACGAGAACAGCAACAGTGAGCGCAACAACAACGACAATTGCCACGTCAACGACGGTGACGTCGGCGACGGCAATTGACGAACACTATGATGTGCACGACGGCGACGGCGTGGGCGACGGCGTGGGCAACGGCGTGGGCGACGTCGATTGCGTGACTGGCACACCGTAGGCTGGCGAAAAGGGAAGACCTGCGCCGTATGCATGCACATGCTGAAGTTAGACAAGGCAGAGCATGCAAGCTGCAGAATGCTTGAAGTTGCACTGTGCTTCAAGGCCAGCGCCATGACCAAGCAGCCGGGGAGCTGAGGCAGCAAGCTGGAGAGGCTGCTGCGGCCGTGCAGGCGAAGATATAATCCATTCTGTGGTGCGGTGTTAGCTATTGCGCTCCAATCCAGCCATGCTTGTTTGGGATTATGCCCTAAACTGGCCCTAGCAACTTTGATGGGCGTTGCGGGTCCCCTTGCCTTCATGCTCTTTCCTCATTTCGGATTTTGACCTATTTATTGCTGGTCTGGGTAGAGCACCTAGTGCTGGGAACTTGCTGAGGCCTTGGAGGATGCCCGCGTGCAGGCTGCGCGGTCGCTGACGGCTTGCGAGGGCCGACTTGGGCAGCTGGAGGTGAACGGAAAGGCAAGCAGTCAAGACTCTGCAGTCTTTGCAGGACTACAAGCTTGATGATATTGCACATAGCTGCGAAGAGCTTTGCAGGAGCGATGCTAGTTTTTGATGTTCAAGCGGCATTGGCAGGTCTATGAGACATGCATCAACGGTTTGCAAACGGACCTTGCCCAGCACGAAAAGCGCTGTTGGGAAGCGTTTGCCTCGAAGGCCTCTGTCCAGCAGGCAGGGTGCAAAGTTGTAGAAAGTGATCAACTCAACAGGTGTTGTCGGTATAGGTCCTTTCCCACACATCAGAAGCGCATACAAAGTTGGACTTTGCCATGATGGATCGCGCCTCGTCGGAAAGGCTTAAAAGGCAGGTCTCAGGCTTGCAGTGCGCAGATGGTCGACAGCAGTGTGTTGCACTTTGCCTTAAGGTGCAACGATCAGACGCAAGATGGAGGAGGAGCCCGTGGTTGCTTCATAAGAAGCCTGCCCCCCTTCCTGGTTGTTGTGCAAAGCAAAACATCGCATCCACGCCCTGTCCGCTGTTTTGCAGCTTGGGAGTGTGAACTGCAAAAACCATGGAGGAGTTTGATTTTGTCAAGAAGACAATCTTCCGTCAGCAGCAAGCTTTCAGAGATATCGATGATGCTGTGGACTGTGTCTTGTCCGAACTATTACTACTGCTGGGTGGAGGCACTCGAGCTTAAAGTGACGGAAGCTGAGGCGTCAACGAGCAGAAGCAGCAGATCAGGCAGTTTCGCGAAGAGCTTCGACGGCAGGATGAGCTTCTCCAGGCCATCCTGTTTGAATCAGCATTTTCTTGTTTCCTGCCTCAAGTCTGGTCTTTTGCTGGCAGGACTTCGCAACACATTTGGATATGCAGGAGCAGAATGTGCATCAATTGGCAGCAGAGCATCAGCGAGATGTGGACCACATGGAGGACGCCACAGTAACCAAGCTCTTGTACTTTAAGCCTGCAAGGCTGCATTCTTACTCGCTCTTTCAGAAACTCCCTTGATTGGTACCAGATTGCCGGGCAGAAAGCTCCGTTGTGACACATGCAGCCCTGCTTCGTGAGGAAGTTTGTGGTGGCCTCCAGAGAAGTTTTGCCGCTGCAGCCTTGGAATTTGACGTGTTGAAGCAATTCAAATTCTTGACCTGTGGCCTGAATCAAGCCGCACAGACTATCTCCAAGGATCAGGTGTCGCAGTGCCAGTCAACTGCAGACAGCATGAGCAATTGCAGCACGAGGTGGGGAGAAGTTGTGCTTAGCTTCACTTGACACTTCATCTCCTGCACATCATTTCTGTAGCAATGTTTCTGCTGGCAGCATCTGACAGCCATAAGGATAGCATGCGCAGCAAGACTGCCAGAACACCAAAGCACATGATGAAGCTTTGCCAGTGTGCAGGATTTCCTTGGAGCAAATGGACAAGACGCTCGCCCTGAGGTCCAAGCCATGGTCATAGCTCCCGCGACAGCTCCTTGCATTGATGGACACAAGGTATACTGCAAAATTGCATGCTTTGCAGGCAATCGTTGGACAAGCTGGAGCAAGATCACCAACAGCTGAAAAGCATCATGGTCGGCACAGATGAGGCGAGTTCCTTATGACTGCTTACGATAGAGCACTCTTCTTCTATGTTTGCTGAGTCTGACATCCAACGTGCATGCTCCAGCTTCCCTGTAGCGATGAGCGAAACGGCTTTCCAGGACTGTCCTGGTACTTGCCAAGGTCCCAGCGCAGCCTGCTAGTGAGAGCTAGCGAGAGCTAACGAGCAGCGCCTGAGCTACAACTGGGTTGATTATTTACTATATACCCATAATGAGGTAACTTTAATCAAGTTCCTTACCAAGGAGCCACAAGTTGAAGGCGTTTTTCGTGGTCGGAAGCAATGTTTTCCAGCCGGCTAGATGGGCATGCTTCCAAAGCGAAGACATTCCCTGAACCACTTGCATGAGCTCAATAGGAGCACCTTGCAAGTGTGCACACCTTTCGGAAAACAGTGATGTTCAGGTTGAGCCTGGAGCGGTTGTTTTTTGGCATGTTGTTTCATTGCATTTGTTGGGGCTTTGAGGCAGGCTATCCTTCGCAGCCTTTCCCAAATCATGCAAGGGACGTCATGAGAGGTTCACTGAAAGCACCTTCGCACATGTGCAATGGCTTTGTTTGACTAGAAACTCACCCTAGCCCTCGGACGCTGCAATTGCTGACAACGAGAACAGGTCAAAGCCACAAAAGACGTGAGGTATATTTGGCAGTCAACGCAATGCCGGATGCTTGTGTGGCCATGGATGCTGCCGTGATGCGGTTGCCTGTTTTAAGATGCTCATGAGCTGTTTGGCATGCATGCAATGTCCGTGATGATTGCCCAGCCATGCAGCACAGAACCACACTCAAGATGAAGTTCAACGTCATTTCCAGTGCGAGAGGGCTCCTGGTTGGCAGCTGTTTCGGGTTTCGCACTTGTTGCTTCAGCTTACTGTTGGCAAATTTTCACTTGCATGTCCGACGCCAGTACCACAACCACTGTTTTGCTGCTACCTCAAGTACGTCTTGGGCATCATGCAAAGACTTCTCGATTCTTTGTGCCAGGTGGAGGTGGCTGTTAAACGGGTCATGGAACACGCAGCGCTTTGGCACGATTGACTGGCAAGCTAGAGTTTGCAGTGATTGCGGGAGGGGTTGTAGGATGTTATGGGAATACTTCTGGAAAGTGCAGTAGGCATCGTAGGAACCTTCATGGCTGTCCACTGTTTCATTCCCATATACACTCTCCCCTGAATGCACTAGCCACAGACGAAATGGGAATGTGTCCCAAAACGGTCATGGTCAGCTAGAGGTCTGACAGCAACAGATGTCATCGCAGCAGGTGTTCATGGCATTTCGTGTCATTTGCCATTTTCCTGAGGATTTTGCGAGCAAGTTCAAGCATCCCGTCAAGTTCAATGGCATCAGGCTTAGCACTCCAGGATGCTCCGAGTGTCCACGTCACATCTAGCAATGTCTAGCACAGCCTTTCAGCCGGCTCTTGTGGATTACCTTGCCGCGTAGAACCTCTCTATGTCCGAGGCACTGACTTCGTCGAACAGCGGCTTACCTCAGAGCAGCAGCTCGCAGAGGTCTCCTGTGACTTGCAAGCTTGATGTTGTTCCGCAGCGTCACAATACCAACGAAAAAGAAGAAGAAGAACAAGCAGCAGAAGCGTGAAGCAGAGGGGAAGAAACAACAAACACCTGATGCCTTTGGCACAACTCACTCAGTTGAAAGGAGGCCAGATTGGCCCTGATGGCTTTGACGCCGCTGTATTGAGACATGACACACTTGCTGTTTAAGGGGGATGTGTAGATGCACAAACGGGCCTGACCAGAAAGCGCAAATCACCAAAGAGGCAAGGAACAGCAAGAGCAAACTAAAGTCATGCCGCAGAGGTTGATGCTTCCATAGACGCGTGCTTGCTGTGACCGCAGCTATTCGCACGATGCAGTGTTGTAGTCACGTGCAAATTAGCCTTTGACACTGCACGCGCAACTACTCGAACAGGTAGTAAGTTAACTAACAGAACCTCTCTGCGTGGCTTGCTCTCACCTGGGAGTGAAGATGTCATTTCATCGCAAGACTTGGTAAAAACTGGAATGTAGATCTATTGAAGACTAGAGCATGCCTCTTGAACAGACCCAACTTGGTAGTTTCCACTCTCTTTTCTATTATCTCAACCTGTTCTCTGGTAAATGGGTGGCGCTTGATCCGTCCAGGTCACTCGCAGTGCTAGCCGTCAAATGCACGTCTTCCTCGAGAGGTATGGCTCTTTGCTTTGTGCGGAGGCAGGGTGCTGGCCATGGTCAGGTGTAACCACATTGTAGTATATCGTAGTATCTTGTCGTCGACTATTGTAGTACATTATTGCAGTTGGTATATTATGGTGCATTATTGTAGTATATTATATTCTAGTACCTTAGTGTAGTATCTTATAGTATAGTTTTAGGTGTTACCGTGTTAGCCTGGAGCTATTTGGAGGATTTTTGGAGATGGCAAGATGCAGCCACCCGCCAGGATCTGCGGGCTCTGGCGAGGTGCCCTGCATCAGACACTGCGGAGGCAGTGGCTGGTCATTTTTTCAAAGTCCGATTTCAAATAATAATAGTAATAATATTAATAGAAATAGTAATAGTTATAGTAATAAAAATAGTAACAATATAAGTAATAGTAAGGGGTAGTTGCGCCAACTATGGAGGCATAGATGGCCAGCTGACAGTGGATCTTGTTGGGATTTACTTTCGCATGTACGTGGTTCCGTTTCCTATTTGCTGTTTGATGGTGCCCGTCCCTCTGGCTGAATATTAGCGAACTGTCTCATATGAGCAGATTTAGACATGATCCCAAGTTCAACAGGGCTCGATATGCCATGTGCTTTTCGTAGGTGTGCCATTCTTCCAGACCAATTCTGCACAATGTGCTTCCATTCGGCCATGCTGCATGCGTAGCCCCAAACCCTCACCACGCCCGTCAGTGAGTGGTTCAGAAAGCTAGCAATCCCAAACCAGAAGCAGCATCGCCAACCTTCGCTGTTGTTGCGGGGCGACGCTCGCTCAAACAAGCACATATAGCTCTGACAGCCGCTCGGCTGACAACAGAAGCCCTCATGGAAGGACAATTGTAGATTTGCTGATTATGTCTGCCATGGTCTGTGTCGTGGCACCATGGAGGGACAGCCACTTGACCTCCCTTGGTCTTAGTAGACTGCAGAGCCGTGTATCGGTTTCCAAGCAAGCTGTGAGTTGGTTCACTGCGCATGTAATGAGCAGTTGGTGTGTGGCACCGAAGGGCGTTCATATAGATGCACGGTGTCCAGGACCAATTGTGGGACGCGATCATATGCCAGCAAGCACCAAGGCCTGTGGCGAACCGTTTTGAGGGACGCTGCGACCTCGTGCTCTTGGGCTGGCCGGGTTCTGTGGGAAGTGTTTGCTCTGTGGATGCTGTGACGTGCTTGAAGATCGGGTTTGCTAGTCGAGGGACTTGAGATCTGTGAAGAAAGCTCCAAGAGGACCGCCTTCATTGTTCTGAACTTGGCCTCAGACTACTTCTGGACCCGCGGAAGCTCAGAGGCCTGAAGTCGCAAAGCCTTCTTGAGGCTCTATCTTTCCACACCATGGCACATGGCACAGGCGGAGGATGTTACTACTGTCGGAGGTTCCATGGGCATGGGCACAGCTGACATTTACATGGGGTTTCAGCCCGAGCATTTCAGAAGTCCGAGGAGCATCCTGATCCTTCAGAACTGTAATCCCAGTGCTGAGGAGCTATACGCTGGAGTGCAGACCTTGGTTAGCTGCACAGTGATTTTGGGGCCGTGCTCATGACAGAAACTCTGCAGCTTTGCCCGATAGGAAGATGACAAAAGGAAACTGCAGACCTGTAAACAACCCCTTGTCAGATTCCTCTGGCGTTATGATTCATTATGGTCATCGGTCGAAAACACTTTCATTTGCTGGAGGGCAATGTGCTGATGAAGAAAACATAATACCTCGGAACACTTGCTATTCCAGCGCCATGACTGTGACAACGACGAAGCGCTTTCGTTTGCGTCGCAAGACTCCGGCGCCACACGGGCCACTGCAGTGGTTGCCGATCAAGAAAAACTTCGGGGCGGTGGTGCGCAACCTGACCGCCAAGGTGGGGTTGGGTGGGGTTGTGTTCGTGACTTGGATGGCTGACTAACTCCCTGAAAGGACCTCTGCTGCACCAAGAGGCGTCACGCGCTCAAGCGGCTTTTGGCCGCTCGTGGCGGCCTTTTGGCTCTGCGGGGCCTTCAAGGGCTCCAGGCACAAGAGCCACTTGGCGAGCAGCTTATCGAGTCCCTTCAAGGGATATTCTCGGGCCTGGCTGTTGTCGCAATGTGTGCCATTTGCTGAACTATGTAAGTCTTCAAATGGGCCAGGCTGCAGGTAGACTATGCCCAGCCAGGTAACTTGCAGGGCAAGTGCAGAACCTCCCTCATCAGATGACACGATGAGAAGACAGAAGAGGGTACGCTGATCAACGGTTCAAACAAATCAGCTCCGCGCTTGGCAACATAAACCAGCGGAAGTCTGAGAATCGCGGTAACCCAAGCTTCCCAAGTGCCGCAAACTTTTGCATGCCAAGCCATTTTCAGGCTGGTGGACCTCACCACTGCATTTGGGGTCTGCGAGCAGCAGCTGGCAGCTCAGCGGGGCCGAGCTTTGGTGCCTGGCACCTCTGGCGGGGCCTTGATGAGGACGAGGGTTAGTCAGCTGAGGATTGCGCTTTAACTACTCAAAAGAGGGTGTTGATGAAAGCTCCTCTTGCTTTCCGTGTGCAGTTCACCCATTGTTCAAGGGGCAGCTCTGTAGTGACTATAGTAGTGAAGTAATTGAAGCAGGTTTTCTGCAACATAACCATGGGTTTTCTACGCTTCAGCTGCCTCCAAGCCCTGGAGCTTCAGCACAGCGTGCAAAGTGCAGCATCTTGGACAAAATCTTTGGATGCAGGATAGGCAATAGCCGTGACCCCGACACTGGTGAGCTCAACGCCTCCTTCACAGTGAGTGCGCAGCTTCCGTCAAGGACCGCGCAGAAAGAAGCATCAGGTTGCTGACAAGGAGTGTGGAGCTGCTGCAACAGTTGCTTACCACCGCATTTCCTTGCTTTGCAGGAGCGATGAAGACCGCCTTCAGGCTTGCAAGTTTGACAGAGTCACAGGGCGTCCAATTTGGCACACCGACGGCACCTACCGTCCACGGCCGCCTACAGGATCCATATTGTATTGTGGCCAGAAGTTCAGGAGGTGAAATATCGAGTGGCTGTATGTAGCTTGGGATGCTGGGGCGAGGATCACCCTGCAGGCGTGCCAGTACAACCTGGCTTCCAGGCAGCCTTGTTGGCACACCGACGCCACGTTTCGTCAACGTCCACCAACGGGGTCCCTTTTGTACTTCGGAAGAACGTAAACGCTCCTGCCTTGATGTGCTTGTGTGTATGCTTCAAAGTTGTTTCAAACTTAAACGCCTCAGCGTACTTAGATTTGGCTATAGCAATTCAGATCATCTCTGTCTTGTGCTCTCCCAGCAGGAAGACAGTCACCAGCGTGAGGTGCAACTCTTCAAACTTCTCGTGACTAAATCCTGCGTGTGCTACTTCAGCCAAGGTACAGCATAGAGGTGCCACCTGTCGGAGGAGACACCTGTTTTGCTGATGCCACGGCTGCCTTCGAGAGCCTGCCTCCTGAAGCCAGACAGAGGCTTCGGGGAAACAAGCCTCCTTCCCCGCCATGCTTGGCTGAAGGATCTTAGCCTTGAATCCTGACCCCTACTCTTCCATCCAAAGCTAAACTTGAGGTTGTAAGTCCTAACCAGACTCTTCACTTATGCCACCCTAAGCCATCCTAAGCCCGAGTCAAAAGAAGTGCCCCTTCCCAGAGGTTGGAAGGCTTGGAGGCCATCTGCAGTCAGGCCCGCTTATTGGCTGGTGGCAGAAGACCATTTTGACCTGCGAGATTATAAGGATTCAAAAGGTGTATGAGGATTTCCCTAAATGGGTTCCTAGTGGGATGTTCCTATTATAATAGGGGTCCTGTTGAATTTCCATCTTGGGAACAGTGATCTAGTTCAAATCCTAGATGTTTAGAGTGTTTTTCCAGAGCAGCGCAGAACCCAAATGCGGATTCCTTCTTTAAGCTTCGGTCTCGACTGAGGTCTACCCCCTGTCTGATGTAAGGGAGCCTGTCTTCGTGTGCATTTGCGGGACAGGTCCACCACGACGCCCTTCACAACGCGAAGAAGCCTGGCACCTATGGGACTATGGGAGAGGACGGGAAGGGCAGATTTATGTGACAAGTCTTACATGTGCTCAGGGAAGACATCCTCAGTCGTTGCGGGGTTTGGCGAGGAGCAGCGACAGCAGACCCCGCTGATGGCCGTGCCGCTGGTCATGACTCATCCGACAACGGGCCGGAAGTCGCTGTATGGACCGCTCGGCAGTCCTTCCATGTGTCCTCTGGTGTCTCAAACCTCTGGCAAGCCCATGACGGTCGTCTCATACAGCATGGCATGGGTCGGGTCTCATGTTCTGTTACGCCTGATAAGGCGTGACGTTCTACGCATTCACTAGGGACCACAGGAGCCAACAGCAGCGTCTTCGCGGTGCAGCCACTCGGCGCAGATGGCCTCCCCCAATCCCTGCTCGACAAGGCTGAGGGGGAAGAGGCCGGGACCTTGATGAGGTACTTGCTTGTGATGCAACCTCGGGTTTCTTCACCTCAGATGTTGGTAGGCATACGAGGATCCTTCGGTAGACGAGCTCCGGAAGTGGTTGCCCCACGCTACAGGATCCTACTTGACCTGCAGCAGTTGCAGCATAGCTTTTTTTGCCGACAGTGTGAAAGAGGGCAAGGACGCTTCACTGGTCGCCAGGACCTGAATTTGTGGTGAGGTGGCGGTGGCAACCCGGAGACATCGTGATTTGGGACAATCGTAGCACAATGCACTGCGCGACAGGCAGGTGAGTTCTACTGCGAAGACTCGTTTAGAGTTTGCCATAGCTTGCCACTGCAGCCGGCACTTGCTGCCTGAGGCTTCGATCACGAGCGCTACACCCGCCAGCTATGGAGATCCACTTTTCATGACATGTCCTGGAATGCGCCAGTAAGGCAGCTGTCGCGAGGGACTGCAGGTTGAGACAAAACACTGCTCCTTCGGATCTTTCCATTGCTCAGCTAAATGTTGGAAATACCCATGGATGACTATTGAGGTGTCTCGTTGTGGCAGCGTGCATGTATCAGCAACTGAACACTTTTCATACCAATGCTGAGATGGAAAAGCTCAGGTCCAATGGCTCCCTGCTGGAGGAGCCAGCCTTGCAGGGTGGGGAGATTGGAGCGTTCCGCAAGATTAGGACTGCTTTTTGCTTCTGGGAAGCCCCTCATAATAAGGAGTATAGTAAATTAGGATCTATAATGTCGGGGTTCGGCCTCCATTCAGAAGCAAGAACAGGCAGCTTAAGGGTTCTTAGGCTCCTGTTCACTGTTCAGAGTTCTGTGTGATTTTTCCTGAAACTGTATGTACGTAGCGTGGGTTCTGGCTGCCATGGCTCTTTAGGTCTGATGGCCCCAGTTTTGCTCTGTACTTCCGTAAGATTTTGACGAGCATAGGGAAATGCACTTCAAACTTTCAATGTCTTACCTGCATTTGTCTGATTCTCTCAAGTACAAGATCCTAAAAGAGCATAGAGAAGTCTACGTGTCGAGATAAAGATGTATTTTGCTTGGCATCTTGAACCTCTAGTTATTGGGAGTCTCTCATTTTTGAAGGAGATGGATAACAGAATGTACAGGATCACAGCAATTACAAAAAACTTGCCCTCCCAGCCTTTCAGGAACCTGCTGCTTGGCAAAATGGCTGTCCGTTTTTTGATCATTACACCTCATCCAAAACACTGGACATTCCCCTTGAACAGAGTCCTTAACAGTCCCTCTGCACTACCTCCACCACAGCTCCCTTTCTGAATCTACATGGCAGTTTCCCTAAATAGGCGGACCCCAAAATAGACCCCATAAGTCTTTCATCCTGATTATAGGGACACCCAACAAGTACCCCTAATTTTGGGAAACCCCCACATCCCTCTAGAATGCCTGCAGTCGCCAGGAGGGAGCTCTCAGAATGGGATTCGGCTCGCAGCCGTCCCCGTTGATGTCCTGGGACTCAGACCACAGGGTGGGGGTGCAGTAAGTTGGGAGATTGGGCTTTTGTTTTTACGCTTGTGATTCAGGGAAGGGGCCACAGTTCCGTCAGCTGACTTGAGGCAATTCTGGAATGTTTCCAACCCACTTCCACTTGACTCAGGGCTGCCTTGGAACTTGGCGCTGTGACTGTCTGGTTGACGCGAGCCCCTTGCATCTGAGGTCTGTTCATGCCAACTCCATATCGCTATCGCTCATGCCGAAGGAGTCTCATGGGTGCGCTGTGTGTTTCAGATGTTCTGGGATGAGTGGAGCGCATGGCGTTCAGGACCTGCAGCGGGGCTTTGGGCCATTGCAGGCCGGCACGGTGAGGATTGCTTTGCAAGGTCTGCCCAGTGGCAAAACTTCCAGCAAACAGGATCTCATTTTCCCTGCACTTACGCTGCCACATGGCAGTGTCAATCACAGCATGCAAGTAGGGGTTTCCCAAAATTAGGGGTACCCTTTGGGAGTCCCTACAAGAAGAATTATAGTATTTGGGGGTCTACAATGGGTTCTCCCTATGTTGGGAAACTACCGAGTCATTTACGCAGTCCCAGCTGCTCTTTGCGGGCTTGGAGCTGGGCGGCGCCGGGAGGTGCGCTCAACTTCCTGTAGCTTGCTTTGGGTCGGTTCAGGTTCTTGCAGTTGTTAAAGACCTGCTGCGCAAGCTGTGGCTGCAATCTTATGCAGCATTTCACAGGCAAGAGGTGAGGACAGCTTTGGAAAATGTACTGCTTTGCTCTGGCCTGGGCTACAGAGAAGTTGATAGACAGAAGCCACGTGTCACACATTCCACAACTTCGTCTCATAGTCCAAACATGAATTTGCAACACTTCGCCGAAGCAGGGCCTCCGAGAAATTTGTGAAGAAAGACACCATGCTATGTCAAGCCATAAGCATGGCAAGCATGATAGGCATCCTTAGTCTGCTACGGCCGAGACAAAGCAAAGTGGTTGATCTTACCCATTACGTTGGAGCCAAGTTGAGGTTGCCATTAAGTGGGGGGGCCAGAAAAACCCGACACATTATATCATCCTCATAAAAGGGGGTCGCACCAACCAAAGCGCTTAGTCTCTGGAACCTTCCAAATCTTGTAGTTCAACAGAATGCAGCGATGGTGAGAATCCTACTGTGTGGCGATGTCCGCGGTGACCTCCCAAAGGTTTGCAACTTGACCGGGTGCGGGTAGTTCCCAACATTAGGGTCTCACTTTGGTACCCCTAAACATAAGGTGACGCAATATATTCTATATCCAATGGGGCCCATAACTTTGGGAAGTACGCATGTGGATGAGTGCAGGCGGACCATGCTAACTAGCAGCCGGATTTATGCAGGACCCCCACATGTGATTGCCCCTGGTGCTTCAGCCAAGGTAAATGTGTGGATGGCTTGCAGCGCAAGCTTCCCGAGGTGCAACCAGCTGCAACAGCAAGAGATGCCCAGAAAATTGGGCTTAGTGGCTTAGCCCCGACATGCTTTTCTAACACGTGGTGCTTTCCAGGAGCAGCGATTTCGGGCGGTCTTCTGCGTTGGAGAGTTCAGTGCCGAGGAGATGAATCTTGACGTTCCGGAGTGGCCTGGCTGCTAGGGGACAGGAGGCATAGGGATTTATGGGGGATATGGGAGGCATTGAAACAGGGAGCTTGAGCGGTGCCCAACAAGCGACTGGACATCTCAAGGGTGGGGGTTCTTGAACGACCCCTTTCCCATTTTTTTCCTTATCTTGCTTCGGAGATATTTGCGTCAAGGCATGAGCGCCAACAGTGAGCTCCCAGGAAGCCAAGCGTGCCCATCTACTTCATCGATTGTGGCCCAGCATGCCAGGCATTGACCGAACCAATGCAGAGGGGTGGGCAGACCATGGCAATAATAATGGTAGTAGTAATAATGGCAGTAAGAATAGGAATAATAAGAGTAATTTTAGTAGCAATGATACAGGTAGTAATAATAGCAATAAGCACAAGAGCGATAGTAAAAATGGAAATAAAAGTAATAATAAGCGCAACATTAAGAGTATAGGAATAGTAGAAATAAGGACAATAACAGTAGTGATACTAGCAATGATAACAGTAATGATGTGTTTTGCTGCCAGGACCTCATCGATGAGTCGCCACAAGGTCGGGACCTTTGGCTCGGCGGCACATCAACTTGTTTTGGAAGGAGTACGGCCACTTGCCATCGTCGGCCACCACACAACCGCAGCCAAACGTACTTACGCAAGCATACCACTGTGACACAAGAAACACACAAGACGTGGAAGCTGGCCTTGGTGTTGCAGAAAAACGGACGTGTTTGAATCAATCCCTAACACACTGGCCAGTTATGAAGGACAAGCTACCACTTGCTTTGCATTCATCGATGCAGAACGCTTGTCGTGATTCTCTCTGTGAAGCACCTGCTAAACAAATGCTGCAAAGCGCAAAACACATGCCGTATTTTGAGTTGGGATCAGCTGGGCTGGCAGGTGCCGGGCTCGAGGATACGGGCGGTATAAGGGCAGAGAACCTTTTGGCAACTGCGGGCACAAGGGCAAAACAAGCGAGGGGAAGATGTTTCTGCGTCCATGTGCAGACCAGCTGTGATGTATCATTTGGCAGAGCAGAGAGAGACGAGGCGATGAGGTGGTGGCTAACGTCCACTTCCTGGGCCACTATGGCGTGACCTCTGTAGCAGGGCTGAAGGCACTGGCCGCAGGGAAGCGTGGGCTTCTGTTTCTTTTCTAGTTCTCTGGATGTTCGCGTAGATGCAGTGCTAGTGTGAGCTGCAGGACAGGCTGGGTTGGTGGGTTGAAGAACATGGCTCTGCAAAGAATCTTCATGCTGCGATTTATACCTGCCACCTAAAGAGTGGCTTGTAGTCCGTCAGAATGATGGTTCTGCTGTGTTGTTGCAGCTCAAGCCATGGTCACTAAAGTCACTAAAGCCGGACGGAACATATGCTCGCGGATGTTGCAGGCCTTGAAGCCTCCATGAAATAGAAATCTGCCTGGAGTCCTGACGCTTTCTCCGCCAGCATGCGGACAGCAAGCAACCCCCACGTACTACCACCTCAGCAAGCAACACCCTCTTCTTGCCATGGCCTTGAACGTGGTTTGTGCTTGGCTGCGGAACGACCTCCGCATCCATGACTCACCAGCCCCATGGCTTGAGTTCTGCTGACTGTTATGGGTCTCATCAACCTTTTGTCTATGCTAAGCATCTCTTTTCTCATTAAACCCCTTGACTTTCTTATACATTTTTGCTCACGTGGTGCTACTCAAGATGGCGAATAGATTACATACTGTTGCTGGAGCCAAGAGGTTCAATATGCAAGGGTCCTTTTGGACATCCTCCTGTAGCGTCATGTCACCTTCCATCTTGCGAGCATCAACTTTGCCTGACGTGTGCTTCTCAACGCAAGGTCCTAAGCCGGGCTGCTCAGCTGTCTCGGGAGCAGAAGCTTCCTGTGCTCCCGGTGCCATGACTGAAGCAAGATTGTTCTCAGTCTGTGGGCATGCCTGAGACGCTCTTTACATAGTGGGCCGGGCGTAGCTGCTGTCGTCAGAGCAGAAAGCAGAGTTGCAAGCCGTAGAGAGCCAAGCTGAAGCAAAGTTTGTGCAAATTCGGTTGGCTTGGCCATTGTAAAAGACCATAAGCCTGCTGACAAATGGGCCTGGACCGTTCTCTTGCTGAAATCATTCTGTCTCCGATTCACTCAGGTGTATTTGTTGGACCCACGCCAGTTCCAAGAGACAAAGTTCGGCACCTTGAAGACAGGTGCATTTAGAGCAGCTCAGCTGAAGTTATACTTTCAGTTACCTCATTTTCAATTGTCATATTGACCAAGGCATTATTTCTGCTTCAATCAGTACGCGTGCTCAAGCGGAGGCTACGTTCCATAGGCTCCGTGCTAAGTCTCAAGCATGGATTCCTTCTTTTTGCTGGCATACCGGACCTACCAAGCACGTTGCTTAGACCGTCAAGCTGTGTGAAAAGAAGCTGCTGATGAGGTTCCGATCTCCTTGTCAAAGTCGGCAAGCCTGAGGAAGCTGCAGCTTTAAGGGCATCCCAAGGGCTAAGACTGATTCTGGGCTTTTTGATGAATTGTCGTCATCATCATAGTCAGTGGTGTCATCGTTTTAGTAATCATCCTGACAACCTTCAGTGGCCACTGTCGTTTTGAACATGGTTTGCTTTGACTGAGACCTTTCATTTTTGTATCGCTTTTGACCAGAGCACTCAGCTTCTATGGTCAGGACGTTCTTCCGGCTCTGTTGGACAAAGAATCCGTGGTCGTCACGCAGGCAGCGCTAGCGGATATGGTAAGCAACAAGCTGTTGGCTGCTGGTTGCCATCGTTGTGGTGGTAACAATAAAGCACTACCAGAATTCTCAAAGGCAGAGCCTTTGAAGTGCTTTTGGAGCTAGTGCCATGAAACAGCTTCGCAACTCCCAGCACAATCCCAGCTATGGGACCTAAACCCCTAAACCCTAAATCCTAAACCCGGACGGTTGTAACCCCATCGAACCACAGCAGATGCAGGACACAAGCGCTGATGAAACACATATGTTGTCTTGGTTTCTGCAGGAGGAGGTGACCTCTGAGGAGCTCAGGGTGGACGCAGCGCTGCGTAGTGCATTGGCGGCCAAGGGCTGCGAGGCGACCCGAATGACCTAAAAGATCCGAGCACTAGCCCACTTATGGAGTGCCAATGAGCTTATGCCCTGAGTACTCGTGCCAAAGGTACCTTGCGAATTTGCGATAGGCCCATCTGCTGCAAAAGTTCCACTTAGCATGCAGACCTGTGTCAGTTCTGGTTGCGCGCGCCTCCTGCAGTTTTTTAGCAAATGTCAGCAAACGGTCGCTGTTCAGGGATGACTTGGGGAGGGTGTGGGATGTGTCCGATCGTGGATGGAGCCTTTCTTGATACCATGCTGAGGGTGTACGCAAATATGACTTCAGACCTGCATGATCATGCATCTGACGTGCAAGCATGGCATTCAACGCTAAGCATCAAGGCGTGGGAGTACTGCTGGGGCAGCACCCTGTTCCACCGGGATGATCTGCCCTTCAAGAAGGCCAGGCCATGACCAATCGGCTTGAAAATTAGCCGCGTCGATTTTTTAGCATCTCCTGCTTACAGCACCTTTCTCCTCAATCTCTGGTTTCCACTCAGGACCTTAGAGATGCCCCTGACGTCTTCACACTGTTCAAGAACCAGGCCGCATTTGCCAGTTGTGGACTGCGCCTGCTGAGCATCACTGCCAAAAAAAAGGCTTCAATGCTTGTTGAGAAGAATGGTGAATGCGGCTGACATGATTGGTGCTGTCACTTGCATTGACTTGTATGCTACTTCAGAAAGTCTCAGACTATGATCTGGTATTGGTACAGGCTCCTAGATAAAATCACGTTCAAAATCAAAATTGCGACTTTCTTGGTCCTCCAGCTACAGGGTGGGGGACATAGGGAGGGTGGTAAAAGAATGGCCATGGCAGGAGTAGAAATCACTGTCGTAACTCAGCTCAAGTGAGCATAGGTTTCACCCCATGTAGACAAGGCATGGGACCCAGGGAACTCCGATGTGCCCTTATCAGTACCCTGCGCAAAGCCCAAATTCCAAAATCCTGCACCCTCCAAACAAACCTTTACCTTATGTAAATCCTACACACTGAGCCAGTAACCCTGCTGCCCAAACATGAAATGCTTGACCCTGTTAATCCGTCAGGTTGAGCCTGAGATGGCAGCCCGGGTGAATGAGGCGTGCCAAGGGGTTTCTCAAGCTGTTGGGTAAAGCAAGTATTTGAGAAAAAGCGGCTTCCCGAGCAAATTAGGATCCTCATTTGGGGGCACCTGCAGATGAGATCCCGCAATCTTGAGAAATGCCTAGACCTTGCAATAAATTGGTAACAAAACCTTAAGGCTCATTGTTACATTGTTGCGCACCCAAGAACCCCGAGCTGCTTGTGGCCGCACATGATTTGGCGAACGCCTCAAAAATCGACTGAAGAAGCCCCTCCTTGCCACTGTAGAGCTTTTGAGTCTGGGTTTGTGGCTGTAGGAATGCAGGCCAGCAGTCCTGATCAGTAGTTTTTATATGTCCAAGGATCGTGTTTTAAAAAGTGGAAAGCCTTGTTGAGTCAGCCTATGAGGTGCCGGACACGTTCCGGGGCCAGAAGAAGACCAAGAGCCAGATCGGGGTGAGGCCTTGTTTTGTGATGTTTTAAGTTGCGTTGCAAGCCCCTAAACCCTATACCCTAGCAGGACCCACAGCCCTGTCATGGTGACTACAAGAGATACTGGTAGCTATTCTAGGCTCCTCTTATATTCCTAGTATACCACTATTACAGGGTGAGGGGGTCCACCTAACCTATACCCTAAACCCTAAAACCTTAAGGCCTATACCCTAAACCCTAAAAACCTTAAAAACACCATAAACCTTATAAACCCTATCAACCCTAAAAACCCTAGACCCTAAACCCTAAACCCTATACCAAGGCCCCAAACCCTAAAAAAAAACCGAAAACCCCTGAGGCCTTGCCTCCCAGACTTGGCGAAGGGCGACTTGCCGCTGCCCGAGGCTGGAGCCAAGTTGGACTTCGCTTTGGTCTTCGAGCCTGAGTGGAAGGAGGGGACCCAGGTTTAGGGTTCAGGGTCCAGGGTTCAGGGTTTAGGGTTTAGGATTTATGCTTTGCTAAAACCTAACTGGAACTCAATGTGGTGCGCCAGGACTTGCCCTTTGAAGCTCCGGTGGAGGAACCTGAAGTCCCCGAGACAGCCGCCATTCAATTTCAAGGCATCGAGATGTGTGTTTTGTGTTCGAAGGGAGTCCGGAGAAGCTTTGGCCGGCAGCCCAGTAATATTTGACAACAGGCTGAAGACAGTACGTGTTTCTTGTGACAAGAGAGCCCCCAAAGTTATGAAAGCTTGCTGCTGCTTCTGTTGCTGCTGCTCCGTTTTAAGAACGGTTGGGCATTGTCATTAGCGAGAGAACCATGGTAGAATCTGTACAGTCACGGTATGGTGTGTCCGGCGCACTTTTGTTGCGAAAGCCCAATGCCGCCCCGGCACTAGAAAGTTGTCTCCAACGCCACGTACATTTCGTGTGTTTTATTGAACTTGAAGACAACTGTGTCATCCTTGTTAAGATGAGGGGCAGTAGACGTCGTCATCATCACCATCACCATCACCATCACCATCGCCATCACCATCACCATCACCATCACCATCACCATCACCATCACCATCATCACCATCATCACCATCACCATCACCACCATCATCATCATCATCATTTCATCTTGATTGGCATCGTAGTCGTAGTGGTAGAAGGAAGACTGCTACCATCAGCACTGCCAGTTGTGACGGGGCTGCTGCCAGGCGGTGAGGACGCCGCTCTTGGAAGGCTACGTTACTATTTGTTACCAAGCTGCACATAACTCAAAACCGAAGCTCTCACCAAAGTCCTCGCAAATCTTTTTGCGTTTACGGCATGATGAGATTTTTTTGCGACACCAAAGATAGAACACCAATTTGCTTCTTGATCACAGAAAGAAGACGACGATCCTTGGGAAAGGATGGCAAAGGACAGTAGAGTAATGTAGGGCCCTTAATTCATAAACCCTCCCCTTCATGGGGAATATAACAGGGATCCTAATATTAAGACCCTTAAAAGGAGGGGGTTTATCAATCACAGGTCTACATTATGAGCAAGGTTTGAGCGAAGGTTTTTGGATGCAAGAGCTGATGCATTTTCAGCTGGCAGCCTAAACTTGCAGGCTGCCAAGGATTGTGCTATACCTTGCATACAGCGTCTCACAAGTGATTGTGTGAGCTGACAGATCTAATGCCACCTGCTTAGAAAGCCAATTATTCCCGAACGATATATCGGGGCAGGTTTGAGACCGATCATGTGGCCAAGTACTTTGAGACTCGAAACGGCATGCTCGGACCAGCCGCCTGCCATGACATCAAATTATGTTTGCTGTTGCCTTTTCTTTCCCAAACATTGATCGGATGGATCACTGCGGGTACATGAATGCAAAGCACATTGTCAGGACTACTCCACGAAGTTCGCCCCATGGCTGGCCTTTGGCTGCTTGTCACCTCGAAAGATCTTCGAGCAAATCCGGGCGTACGAGATGGAAAATACTGTTGCTTGGGCTGCATTTCTTCGAATGCATGTGGCATATGCGTTCTTGATGCTTTTACTCAATGATGCTTGTGCAAACTGCACAGCAAAGTTAGGCGAACAAGTCGACCTATTGGGTTCTTTTCGAGTTGTTCCACGGCTTGAATCTATGACCAGCAGAATCAGGGCTGGAGGTGTTCGTAGTTTGTTTGCATGCGTTTACTCAGGATGTGGCGCGACTTTTTCCGCTTCTTTGCGGCAAAGCATGGCAACTTGGCGGGTGACCTGAGGTGCGTCAGCCAGAACCTTGTGAACTACCCTGACAGCTGTGGTCGCATGTGCAAGGTGACAAAATCTTCAAACTATATGGTGTGTCTGGTGGAGACTGGGCACCTGGGCTGTTTCGTCACATGATGTCACATGTCACTGGCATATGCAACAGTGCGAAAACGTAAGTCCGCATCATGTGTTGTCAGGAATGGCAGTCTGATAGCAAGCTGTTTGAGCTATGGGCTCGTGGGATGACTGGCTACCCTCTGGTTGATGCCAACATGCGAGAGCTGCGTGTCCTGTCTGATGTACTGGGTAGTTCACGACACATTGGCTTTGATGTGTTTGTCTGCGCATCAACGTCAAACTTTCAAAGCTACCAGGGTTTCCGCATCTGCCTAGTGCTCGCAACGAAAGTTAGCAGCAGTACCCGCAAATTTCGGATGCTTCAACCGCGAGGTGCCACTGGCTTCATGTCCAACAGGGGTAGGCAAAATGTGGCCTCCTTCCTCGCGCTGGACATGAAAGTGGACTGGTACCCGAGCTCATCCTGCACAGCAGTATCACTAGTTGTCCACCTGTTGATGCCGCTTGTTGCTTTCTGGGATTCAGGCGAATGGGTGCTGACTGGTTTGAAAGCTACTTGGTGGATTACGACGTCGCGTCTAACTGGGGATGCCTGGGCTCAAACCGGCGCCGCAAGTTACAAGTTAGATTTTTCTGTGTGAAAGTGTCAGACAAGACGGAGTTGCGACGGCAAAGATGCGACTTGCAGTGCAGAAGTTATCATACTGTCCACTACCGTAAGGGAGCAAGAATTAAAGTTTGCGTAATCCTTGCATGTCCTTGCATCTCTTCTGGAACCAGGAAACTGGGTTCATGCAGCGGGCATGACGACGGGACGTATCAACCGGTTCAATGTACCATGGCGACAGCTGGGCCTTGCTGGGCACCTTTCCGTGTGCGCAACGTGAGGTCACCAGGCAGTCGAAGACCTATGACAAGGCCGGGTAGCATGATCGCCCCAATAGGAATGCTGCTGCCACAACCCGGCAAGACGTTTCTTTCTGTGTAACGGCGAGTTCTATCCCTACTCCTATGCGGCACTCGAAGTCGTAGTCGGACGGCTGACCGCCGCTGTTGTCGATTGCTACGGTACTGCTACACCAACCACACGCATGTTGTCCGTGCCTTCATTGCCACGACTGTGAATCCCACCACCTGCCGCTGCAAACACTACTATTGCCATGACGGCCACTGCTGCTGCCGCTGCCGCCGCTGCTATTGCGGTAATGCCAGGGCTAGTGCTGCTGCTGCTGCTGCTGCAGCACTAGTACTCGCGATGAGGCAAGAAGAATAATCTTTGTCAATTCGAGCTTGGTGGGGGCATTTGCCTAAAATAGGCCTCATTCACGGTCGCTTTGCTAGTGTATAATCCTCATGTCAGCAGTGGCCTCCGTACAATGCAAAACCTTCAACCGTGCGAGTGTTTCTGCGCTCCGTAGCAGTACCTTTTGAGCGCTAAATCAAAGGATGGCAGATACATCAGACACTGGATTCCTGAGCTACGCCTGCGTCTCAGTTACTATTCGGATGGCTTCATGCCATTTGCATGCAGGAGCAATGGACCACGGAAAGGGATAAGAGTCTGCAGTCTGGGCTTGTGTCAGGACACATGCCTGTCAAGTACATCCACGAGCCATGGACGCTCTCTCCGGATGAGCCGTGGCAGCATTGACGTTTGTGTTCTTTCGCAGACTGTGTGAAGCTCAGGAGAAAGTGCAATTTGGTGCCGAGGGCTTCTCAACTCAAAAAAATGTGCTTAAAGACTCTTGAGGCTACATCCAGTGCTCTGCAGTGCTTTGCAGTATGCTGGACAGCCAGGCTATCCGGCACCCTGTTTGGACCCAGCTCGATTTCGCGAAGAGGGTGGTGGGAAAGGGCGGAAAAGGACCGACATGTAGACTTTCGTATTGTGCTGAGTGATATCAGAGAAGGCCGGGCTTGGTCGGACTTGCAATCAGTCATGCCGTGACCAGTGGTTTGGGAAGTTCGGACTGGAGGAGCAAGGGTCGAAACAAGGGTGGGGGGCGCCGCAGATAGCCTCAGTGAAATTGACGTCATGCTGCGAGCCGATCCTCACCCAAGTTGCAATCCAATGGTGCCCAAAGAAGGCCTCAGGATACAGTTTTCCTGCGGAAAGAGTTTGAGATGTCCAGCAGCTAGACCACTGCACCCTTCAGGTGTGAAATGATCTCTTGAGAAGCTTCTTACTTTGTTATTGGTTGGCTTAGTCCTTTCATTCGGAATTCGGTCTTGCTGCTGGCTGGCCACAAGCCCAACATCAACTCTGTGAACCACTTTGCAGCCTCTCTCGCGCACGATCAGGCGCTTTTTCTGCCTTGGGAGTAATCACCACGGCATGGCGTACATTGTTCAAAAACTTGCTTGATGTGCAAGGCATGCTTTAGCACGAGCCGCGCAATGGGACGCATCAGAAGATTACAACTTGCACACCATGCTGCCTACATTGTTCTAGCTGCCATCTCAGTTTGAGTGCAGGTCGCCTACCTGTCGGGACGGCTGAAAGCTGAACTTTTTGAGGAACAGGCAGGTCCACCATCCTGCAAGATTGGGTTGACTACATTCATGATGCCAGCTTGGAGCATGCACACAACCCGCTCTCAACTTGCTCTGAAATGCCGCAATTTAGGCCCAAGGCAAGCGATCGGAAGCTGTTGAAGGGTCACGCGGTTAAACAGACCAAGAGGTGATCTTGAGAAGGCAACCTCTGCTTGTATGTTGCTGGAGAAGAACCTGGTACCGTCGCCGGAGGCTGTTCCCTGGCCACGATTTGCAAAAAAAGCGCTATCCCGCAGCTCTTCAGCATCTTCCCAGGATTTCGAACTTGTGCTGGGTCCGCGTAGTTGTCTCCCAGCCAGACTGTCTATGGCGGACCCCTCGAAGTTGAAGATGACCCGCAACCATGTCGTCTCAGCAGTGAGTTGCTCAAGCTCCGCGAACTGCATCCGATACAGCGACTACTGCCGACTCACCGCCATGTACAGGGCTGGAGGACCGGAGATATCCTTCGGCAGTGCCCTTCATGTGGGTGATGGCAAGAATGCGATGTGCTTGGTTTGTAGTGTCCTAGTTGCAAGGAAGATGTAAACACGCCTCATTAGAGCTAAGACTGGTGCTATCGGTAGCAGCACGATTTCCTCCAGGCATTTTGTCGCACGATTGCCTCCCTGAAGCTTCGTGATAGTCCTTCCGCTCAGGTTTTCACAAGCCACCACTTCGTACCTGCAAGAATGGTGTCTTCTGCGATTTCTGCCACTTACATGATGGAAGACGCAATAGACGCCGCCGGGTGAAGCGCGAAACTTGGCAGTGGCAAGCTTCGAATGTAGAGGGGCAACAACATGCAATATGCAGACTCCCAAAGAAGTGAAGATGTCAGGCCTGAAAGTTGTGTTGTTATCCATGGCGTTCTTGTGTAAGGATGCGACCGGACGCATGACCTGGGATGACACTGAGATACAGTTGCTTGAGGGCATTCTGCTGTAAATACTGGCAGGAACAACCACAGAAACAGATAAGATACAGTCAGGCTGTATTCAGATGTTGCCGGAAGGCATTCTGCCGTAAGACTGGCAGACAACTTGCGGTTGATCCGCATGGCAGTGTTTTAATTCTAAGGCGGTTGATCCGCATGTTTTTGAGACGAAGGCCATTAAGCATCGTAGCATTCGTAGCAGAAGAACCCGGTTTGAGCAGAGGCCTTTGTCTCGAGAAATCCCCCGTGACTAGGAACGTCAAATTATCTGCGGGCTAAAGCCAGTGTGTTATCCCGCGAAGCTGTCCGAAGAGCAAACGGCTCCGGATGGCGGTGTATAGTTGCTTCATGAATTCATCTTCGGCAGCAGGTGCAGAGTCCTTCCAGCAGACCAAGGTGCCTACTTGAGTAATCATACGAGGCTTGCCCAGGAATGTTGGTCCATCCGGTGCAAAAGCGGGAATTTGTGGAGAGTTCATTGGTGGTCAAATTAGTTGTGCCGAGATCTTCCTGCCTTTATTCTGTCAGGATGACAACGAGGACCAAGACGGTGTGGGGCTCATAGGCTGCAGTTTTGGATTTGGATGTCCTCAAGCAAGACGAGCCTTTACGGCAACCTTTGGCTCTCTTTTTTGCCCTTTCTTTTTGGAGCCCTGTGCCCCGGGCTTTGAAACACGTAGGAGTATTCTATGGTAGTTTCCCTAAATAGGGGGAACCCAATATAGACCCCAAAATACTATAGTCCTTATTATAGGGACCCCCAAAGTGGTACCCATAATTTTGGGAAACCCCCCTCTAGGTCCCTAGCCGGCCACACCACAGGCTTGAGCTGAATGTCAGACTGCTAGACAATGTTCACGCATGGTTGCCATTTCAATGCAGGGAGGGGAGACGAAGGCTCTTGAGCTCGACTCAGTTCTAGCATGATCAGAAATGGTAGTTTCCCAAAATAAGGGGACCCCACTATAGACCCCAAAATACTATAGTCCTTATTATAGGGACCCCCAAAAAGGTACCCCTAATTTTAGGAAAGTCCCATATGGTTGGTGCTGTAGACAAGCGTAGGGTCCTCCC